AATTGACTGATAAAAAATAAATTAAATACAAAGATGTGTATATAAAAAAAATAACAAAAATAAAATACAACAATATTAAAATCTGTTTAAAATAAAATATAATGAATGTAACGAAGTTTAAAATAATATTTAATTGAAAAACTGAAAATAAAAGACTGCAAATAAAATTAAGTTACATTATATAAAAATGTTTTAAACTATATAAAATATAATATAATGAGTGTATTGAAGTTAAAAAAATTGAAAAACAATTTGGTAAGTAAAATAAAATATAGTAAATTAAAGTTAGATATAGCAAAAAATAAATATGAAGAAATATAAAAACAAACTAAACTTAAATTAACTAAAAAATTAAACTTTAATTAAAAAAATTAATTAAATGCAAAGATATATCAAAAACATAAAAGATACAATAAAATACAGTTACATTAAAAACTGTTTAAAATAAAATGTAATGAAATAAAATTACAATAATATATATTTGAAAAAACAAAAATAAAATTTTACAGGATTATATATAAATATTCGAACTAGAATAAAATATGATCTAATGAAATTAAAAAAAAAAATAGAATATTATTAAATAAAATAAAATAAAATAAAATAAAATATAATTTTTGCAAAGTAGATATAACACAAAATGAAGTATGAAATTATATAAAACTAAATAATATATAAATTACTGAAGAAAAGTCAAATAAGAACAAAGATGTGCCAAAAAGAAAAAAATATAATTAATACAATTAAATATGATTGTACTGAAAAATGCTTAAAATAAAATATGAAATAAATGAAATAAAATTAAATAATATTATATTAATATTATAATTTTGTTTTTTTTTTTACGAGGTAATTGGTCAATAGTAAATAATTAACTTTCTAAATTTTTTATAAAAATGTAGTATTTAACTATTGACCAATTAGTCCGTAAAAAAAAATAAGATTATTATTAATAATATTTGGTCACTAAAATAATAAAATATTAGTAAATTATAAATAAGATAAAATAAGATTACATAAAAATATTTTAAATAAAATAATATATAATAAACTTAAACTAAATAAAATTTAATTGAAAAAACAAAAATAAAAGTAAAATAGAATAAAAAAAAAATAATATCAAAAAATAATTTCAATGAAAAATAATAATATAAAATTCATAGTAGCTAAATTAAAAATAAATGTTATAGTTTTAATTGCTTTTTAATGTACTTTTAAATTAAATCATTTGGAATTATACAAACATTTAAAGGCATTTAATATTCTGCACGTTCAGGATACGTGCAACCGTAAATTGTCTTAATATTCACAAACCGGTGAATGCATAATGGGCAAATTGCTGCAGCCCCTACGTCCTTCGGATTGCATGGCTTATATTCGCATTAATTATCCTTGTGTGTCACTTGATAAATGACGATTTTGCAGTTCAGACCGCATATTTGTGTTGCCATTAACATGCATGGACAGCACAGCATTTTAGTAGAGAACTGACAAGCAGCTTCAAGTCAATAGGGAATATAGGAGATGCGAATTAAGATCTGTTAAGTGCCATTCAGTTGCTGAGTTCTCGAACTGTTGAGTTTCAATATATCCTCTACATAAGCAATTCTGGGACATTAAAATGTACTTTAAGACAAATATTTACTTGTTTATATGGGTTAAATTGGTGCTGCACTACCCACCCACCTTGGATTTACCCACCTTAAAGTTTTAAACTCTGATGTTAATAGCATGAAATCTTCATTAAAAAATCTTAAGACTTTATTTAATTTATTGATTCAGTTTTAAATAATCTTATTAATTATGTTAAATTGCCACTTATTAAATTATTTAAGAAAATCTTTAAATTTCTTTATAAATTTTTGGTAATTTTATTTAATGATTTGCAGTAAAAGTTTTGAAGTTTAATGAAGCCGAAGTCGTCAATGAATTTACAATCACCATGAAAACGGTCAAATCCATAATATTTTTTCTGTTACTGGCCGGGACAATTGCCGGAGAAGTGCAGTTGTCGTTTTTTTTTTTCATTTTCATTTACAGTTTCGAACTTTTGGAGTTTATTCGTATGTTTGTGGGTGTGTTTGTCCAAATGTTTTGTCTGTTCTTGTTGTTTTGCTTGACAAGCTTATCAAGAACAGAAAAATTGTCTTTAGATACTTTTTACATTTTTTTTTTATTTTCTGTTAAATTTGCCGACACACAGGAAAACTTTTTCAATTCGATTGAATTCGAAGATTGTCGAGAAAGTTTTACTCCTACGTCTTCCTTTGGGAAGCAAGACTGTTAGCAAAATTTATTGTGGAAATTTATTATTTTTATGATTAAAATTTAACAAAATGGTTATTTATGTTTAAAGAGAATATAAATAGATAAATTGTGGTTTCTAATTAATACGAATATTATTATTGATCGTTTAAGTGATAAACTTTGTAATATCAAATCGTCTGTAAATTATATTATATAAATAATTATTATATATTTAAATATTTTTAAACAGCTTACACTGAATAGAATATTTTTCTTTTTGAAAAAAATTATATTTTCGAAATGTATTTGATATAAAAAGCATATAATTGCTTTATCAAAACATTCGTTAAACTCTATTTAATTTTGAAAACCTATAGAAAACTCATTGGAGCAAATATACATACTTTCTGCTCAAAAAGTATCCGGATTTTGTTGTTTGTTAACTATACCTTAAGTAATAAACCTTTCTCTAAAGTAATTTTTTTTTGTTATGTTGATACACTCTTTCTTGACATATGGTACAAATTTGAGCGCCATCTGTCAATAAGTTTGTTTACAGCAGCTGATAATGTGAGACTACCTCAAGTGCATTTAGCGATTTTTACTATGGAAAATTCTTGTTGTACGCGAATTTTTGATCAAACACGGCACCACTGTCATCGCTCAGGCACCATATTCGCAAGATCTGGATTCGCGCGACTTTTTCCTGTGGTAAGCGTTTTGAGTCAATTGAATCGGTAAAAGAGAATTCGCTGAAGGAACTAAAAGCCATACGTGCACGGGCCTACGAAAAGTGTATGGAAGATTGGGTTAAGCGTTGGCATATGTGTATCGCTTCAGAAGGAGCATATTTTGAAGGAGATAAAATAAATTTAGATTAAAATTTAAATTTGTGTATTTTATTTACAAAATCCGAGTACTTTTTGAGCTGGAGGTATGCTATTGATATTTTAAATTAATTGAAATTACATCACATTTTTGCGTTCTCTATCACAATAAATTTTAAAGCATTTACGATATGATTTTATCTTATTGAAGCCTAAAATAATCCCCTTCTGACCCCATTCTACAGGATTCATAGTTTTTTAACATGTTTACCTGTTGTTTAGGCTCGTCATCTAGGTGCTTTTAACAAACGTATCACTATAATACGACGTTAAATGCCATCATTGGAATTCCGTACAATTTCGCTGTTACCAGTTGATGCTAAATGTTTGGATATAGTTTCCTCCTTAGGACCGGGCGATGTTCATTTAGTATCTCTGCTGTTCTTTTGGTTACTGCATCTGTTTGGAAAACATAACTTCACATCGAATAAAAGTGGATGCATATGGTCTTTCAACCCACATAAGTTCATGCTTTAGTTACTAATGTTAATTGTTCAGGACAGCCGATAGGCCCTAACTTTCATGGCTTATGCCTCCCAAAAGCTGCATAAGTGAAACTAAGACTCATTACCATTTGTATTGCAAGTAGTAATCAGGTGGTGCCTATTGGGTTTTAGTCGCTTTTAACGACAAGTATGTCACCTTAAAAATGATTTAAACCCTTTTCTCTCTTCTCGTATGGTACTCTTATTCAACAATCGAGGTCAATACGACTCAAAATGAGGATCTATAAATATTTAAAATAAATAACAGTTTTCAACCTACTGCATCCTTGTCATCAATCATAATCTTCTCATTTGGGGCTCATTTGTTTTACTTGTTGTACCTGTTTTCTTTCTGAGCTGACTATTGCTTGGTATATATTAATTCCCTTTTCTCGGCAGTTGATTATTCGTATGGAATTTTTGAAAGTAGTACTTTACCAACTTTTTGGTAAAAGCCTTTTTACAATTTATTTTCAATAGTTCGTATTAGTAGATTACTATTACCATCAACTTTAAAAAACATTATTTTTGTTTATATGTAGGTATATAAGTCTGTAAGTGTAATTCTACGGGTCGTACTATAAACAGAACTTTATTATAATAAACTTAAAAATTTCTTTCTAGAAATTATTAGGATAATATCTTAGAAAGTAGATTAGGATACTCGTTATTTGAGCACTTTAATGACAAGACATGTATTTCGTAATAAAAAAGATTAATAGTAAAAAACAACAATTAACCATGAATGATTAAATCAATTTATGTAGCTTTGGTTTATGCATTCATTTTAATCAATAACACTGTGCAGAATTTGTTTGGTAATAAAATATAGAAAATTATCAAAACTCTAAATTTAAAGAACGCAAATTAGTTTGAGATTTGACAGGATTCAATTTTTGATACTCATAGTCCAAACATATATAGACAGACGACAGTTAAACCAATAGATGTTTCCAAAAGAACACTGATAATGATTATTTAGCGATATTCAAAATAGTTGCATGGCTATCTTAAGGAATCAGTTGATTCGGGTGTTCGACATCAGAACTATCAATATCGATTACTATGGTTTGACAGCTGAGAATATCAAGCTATGTTGCTGTTTCTATTCAGTAAGGTTTAGCAATTAACTATGAAACGTTTAACGCATGAACAACGCTACGTCAATAAGCAAAAATGATGTATATGAAGCGAAGATATTAAATGTTCATAAAATCCTATCTGCAAAATTTTTATATAATATATAGCATGAATCTGACTTTCTGGGAGCCGCTAAATAAATGGCTACGCTAAATACTAATCTTAATAATAAGGTTATAGTTTATGGTTGGTTTTTTATATGGAAATAACGTAAAGAGGTCTAGTTTGTATGAACCGAAAAACAGTTGTCAATTTTTATTGTTAAATGAAACCATGAATTTCAAAATATATAAATTTTAATAACTCTATAACAATTTTTGCTTTCAAACTATTTACTACAAAACATTGTACGATTCATCAAGATATCTTAAATGAACTCAGTAACTACGATACATGCGTATAATATTCTTTCGAACCATGTTGCTGTTGGAGTTTCTTCACTTTTCAAAAACATTTTGTCCATTAAAGTTTTTCCTTTGGAATGTAGCTCTTCCTCGTGCACCTCCTTAAAAAAATTCTTCAAATATATACACAATAACAATTATAATGGGTTGTATTACCTGAATTTGTGATTCTCTGCTGTGTTTTTCACTTTTCTCATGTACCAATTTCGGAGAATTCCAGTTGAATTCTTTATCAGAAAGATTTGAAAAGGATTTGTTCGAATAAAAATCTGAGCTTATAGTATAGATGAAGTAAGTCGCAATAAAGATAAATCCTGCGATTAAACTAATTGAAAACCATTTAACGAACATTTTGCCCCAATATGGTTTTACTATCTTAACTGAATTTTGTGTTTTCAGTTCACCTATTTCCTGCTGTTCAGCTATAACACATTGAATTAAATTGTCATTACCACAGAAATCTTCATCCTGGACACTGTCAGTGCAATTATCTGTAGTTATTTGTTGAAGAGATTCCTTTGATTCAGTTTCGGTAGATGAAACATCCTGAAAACTATCGTCATCAGATTCAGAACCACTTTTTTTTGAGTTTCTGGGAGTGTCATTGCTCTCACAATGCATTCGAGTTCGATGTTCAGTTTTTATATACAAAATTGATGTTTTTTTTACTATTTGGTAAGATGCAACATCCTCTTCAAATTCTGTGTCAGTATCAATTGACATATCGCTTATAGAAATTTCGCTGCAGTTGTCATCTGTTTCTGAAATACAAATGTAACCAGGATCTTCTTTATAATCTTCTTTGTTATAATATACCATATCTGCTTGATTAGAATCTTTTAGAGTTAGCATATTGTTTAAATGGTTAGATATATTATTAAAGTATTGTACAACTCTGGTAGCACATTTTTCACATTCTACAACTGATCCACATGTTCCAACTATCACGTCTAGTTCATGTTGAAAAGCGTTATCTCGCAGGTCTAAGAAATGTAAGTCTTTGAGTTTTCCAATACTGGCTGGTAGATCCAACAAATTATTACTATATAGACTAAGTGAAGTTAAATTAATCAAATCGCCGAAGTTATGAGGCAAGTAAGTCAATGCGTTATGGCTTAAGTCTAATTTCTTAATATTGTAAAGGCTTGCAAAGTCCTCTCCAAGTTTTACCAAACGGTTTTTGTGCAGGTCTAGCATTGTTATATATGTAATTTGCTTAATGGCTTGCACTGGAACACTAGACAACTCCAAACAACTTAAATCACATAGATTCTCACTTAAATATTGTTTGACCAACTTATTGTTAAATTTTTCTGAAGCCATTTTCTATTAACCTTTCGTTTTAATATGAGAAAGAAAATTTTTATTTTATTTTGAAACAAAAAAAAATTAATGTATGTATTTATATATTTCATATGAAAATTTTTAATTTATTTTTTATTAAAAAATATATATAATTTTTATATATATTTTTTTTATTACCACTCAATAACTGAATTTGATAAAGTACAACAGTTGAATTCAAATTTTTTTTAGTTAGATTTGCAACAGGTCCACTTGAAAACTAAATATGTTATAACTAAATTTAGTAAAATTAATATTGATATTAGCTAATATGATTCTAAACTTAATGTCAAAGCTTAAAAAAATTTATGAACTGTATATCAAAGAAATGTTATAAAAGTTGTAGCATAATTTTTGGTCCAGTAAAAATCACTTATTCCAAAATACAAATTATTCACAATAAGTACCAAATAAAAATAAATGTCATTTTCTTATATGTATGTAGAAATTCGTATGAAAGGCACTCCTAAGAGATTATTGCTTTTAGTGCCCAAACAATATTACATAAAATGAATAGATTAGCTATCTCATCCACCATATTGTTATCATTAGGAAAGCAAAATTTTAGTAATTCGTTGGTAGAAGAAAAGTTTCTGGGTACCATCAAATAATCTGCTATCAACATAACCTCAACAACTAGTTGAAGAACTGCTTCTCGTATCATATTTTTAAAGTAACTCTACGATATCATATAGAATTGTAGTCTTAAATAAGATATATAATAGAATCTAGAGAAACCTATATGAGCGGCAAGAGAATTAAAGAATTAAAAACCAAATTTCAAGTAAATCGTATATTTTGTCAAATATATTTGATAAAAAAATTATAGTTTCTAGAAAAGGATACAAAGTTACTCACTCAAATTTACTCACGCACTAAGATTTGCTATTTTAAAAATTGAATATATGGATTGCTACAACTATCTTGGTAACATCCTTAGAGTGAACGATGAACCAATTGAATATATTTTATTTCGCATAAATAAAGTCAAAACCACTTTCGTTATATTGTGCAATATTTGATAGTCTCAATATGTCCACACTTTCACAAATATTAGCAATATTTGTTCTCTCCCCAGAACACTTTTTCAATTTCTGCGAACAGGTAGTAATCGCTGAAGACCTTATCTGGCCAATAAGAAATACAATTATGAAGTGCTTCTTTTTCATATTGGGTCTTTGTTCAGTGATTTACTTCCTCAAACGCACCAGTTGGTCTATGCGATCGCTATTGATGGTTTGCCCTTTTTGAAGAAAGTCGAGTAACAAAACTCCACGCGCATCTAAAAATACGAGCGCTAATTCTGGAAGAATGTGGTGAATCCGACTTTCATCCATTGTTATATACCGATGCAGATAGGTATTTTTATCTAGTTTTAATATTAACATAACATATTTGCTGTTTTTATTTTAGTGTCATCAAAGTCCCACCCACTTCGAAAAAATCTTTCTCATAGATAAATGTCTATACAAAATGAACCCGACAAGTTCCATTAAGATCTTTAAGGTTTCACCTGTCTCCGGCAACTTCAATTTTTGAAACGTCTTCTCACCACTTTTTTCTTTGGGCGACCAGTGTGTTCGGTCGAAACAAAGTCTACTGCTATTGTGATTCTATGAACTTATTAGGCAATATGTTATCTATAGGAGTGAAATTTTAATATTAGGAATTTTTTGTTTTATGATCGAATAAAATCCCATAATCTCAGTTTTGACGGTTCATTTTCCATACATTTATTTTCATTAAGATATTTTATTAAAGACTGAATTTAAAAAAAAATCACTCATACGTCACATGTATCATATTTTCTGAATATGCAATATTATTAAAATGATTTGAAATAGATAAAAGAATTTAAGATTTGCTTTGCATATTAAAAGCGAAATTAAATTTATTTATTTTGCTTAAATTTATTTTCGTCAAAATCAAATAAATTTAGAATTAAGAAAAAATGCTCCTTAAATAAAAAGGGAAAAGAACTGTCAAATTAAAGTGACCCTTTTTAATTTACTTAATAGAAAATAAAATTCAGCAGACTGTGAGGGAGAGTTTAATGATAGAAAGAAAAATAAAAATAAAAATAAAAATAATTTTAATAAAATAATAATACTTTTGTCAATATTTCAGAGGACTTTCCTACATAAAACAAAATATTAAATATTTTCATTAAAAGCGAAAAAAGAGAATAAATGCAATTTCCGATTTTTCCAGACAGTTTTGTTAAATTTGTTAACTGAAATGACAATTTTTGCTGAAAGGTGTTTTTTTTTTTATTAAATTTTTGTTTTTGTGAGAAATATTTTTTTTATTTAACATATTTTTCTGTTTGATTTATGAAGTCACCCTCGTCAATCAAGTGAAGGTTAAACGTTTATCGAACAATGTATGTATTTTAAGAACTCCACATTTATTAAGTTTGCAACACCATTTTTCAAACAGCCAAAATTAAAATGAATAGGAATAAATTAAATAAAATTAAAAAGAATTAATTTAAAGAAAATAAAAAATCTTAACATATTAAAAATCAAATGACAAGAAAAGGCGTCGTTAAACCAACCTCAACTATTTTGCTTTGCTGTTTGCTGTTTGACATTGTCATTAACAGCTTTACTTTATTATTTTCTGATAGAGTTGTTGTGTATGTATATGTGCAGTTTGGCACACACACACACACAAAACACTATAATGTGTGTTTGTGTTTTACATGTCGAACATTTTTGCTACATGATTTACTCACAAAATCAGAAATAATCAGTGTTGTATGTACTTTAATGTATTGTGAGTTTTAGCCTGTGACATTTTATTGCCTTCCCTGCACTCCGAGAGCTTAAGAGCAATTGAAAATGCTTGTCACGTTTCAATTGTTTCGGAATAGTCGCACGTGTCTACACATATAATGATGCCATAAATGTGTGTGTAAGCAAGTAATTTACAACAGCAGCAGACAACTACGACACAAAATACAACAACATTAGCACTAATAAATACCAACAACAATAATAACAATAATAGTTCTTAGTAAAAATGTATGCTTGAAAAATGAAATTTTTTATGCGCCTGAAAATGTGAAGCAACAACAACAACAATAATAAGTATTACCGTAAATCTAATAAGAAATAAAGTACTTCGTACTGTAGGCGGCAAATGACCTTGAAATTTTTTGTTTATCAAATATTAAAGTTCCTTTGCGTGTACCATATTTGTGTTAGTGTGTTTGAGCGATTGAGTGTTTGTATTACAAGCCATTAGCGTTTATGCCTACCGTATTTTATGTATATTTTTAATGATTTATTTTAAAGGAAAAAATCTTTTAAATCCGTTCTGATCCAAGAAATTTTAGCTGGCAAATATGTACCCAACTTAAATTTGTTTAATATTTTTTCTTTTTTAATAAACTTGATAAACAAACAGTGAATTCCTTTAAATCTGTTAAAATGAAATAAGAAACAAATGTCACAATATTCAAGGAGAAAATCCTTTTTTAACTTTAGGCTGGGGCTTACGCACAACTCAGCAGGACAGCAGGACAGCAAAACTAAATCTAAAGCAAAAACACAAAAGTGACCACAAAATTGTCTAAAGAATGGTTTCAACACTGTAACTTTATTTTTTGTTTTTGTTTGTCTTTTATTTGCGATTTGTTCTGTTTTTGTTTTTTTTTTTGGTTTACTTTTGGTTTTGGCTTAGTTGTTATTAAGTTGTTTATTTTTTGGTCTTTGTTACGTACTTTGCTTTAATTGCAACAAAGTTTTTGCTCTAAATTTGAGGATATCCGATACAAGCAAGCAAAGAAAGTTGCGCTATAAAAACTATGTCGCCATTTAAAGTTTCAACAAATGTTCAGATTTGTTAGAGTTTGCAGTATCGTCAGAAGATATTAAACATATAAGTAAATATTTTATGCTGAAAACATAAGTTTATTAATTTAAGTGGGTTTAGCTGCATTCTGTCGTTTTTTTAGATTATCTACTGTAAGCAAAAATAAATTTAAGACACAAACATATTTAGGTAGGAAGTCTAATGTGAATAATTATTCAGAAAAACTAGGTTACGAATTTGCACACTTAAATGCAATACTTGCATACGAAAATACACACTGTGCATTAAAATAGGTACACACACATGCGCAGTGAGCGGCAATAGCTCATAAACATGTTCTAAAGAAGTTGGGTCACACTCTTGTGCAAATGAACATTATCTTTGAAACTGACTGCCTATATTTACTGTAATAAAATGAGTAGAACAATCTTAAGAGTGAGTAGAGCAAGTCAAGAAATCTAGCGCTTGAAGCAACTACAGTGGTGGTGGATAGTCTAGTGAGTAACATAGACTTTACCTCAATCTATAGGTCACCGAATATACAAGCTTACCTATGAGATCTTGAAGAGCAATTTAATAACAATTCGATGTTTTTCCTGGCCGGCTCGGGTGACAGTGGCACAAATAGTGCAGGCGGGGTGATCGCCCAATTTGCTATTGACCACTTACTACAGCTACACGCGCCTAATGAACCAACATACTATGGTAATTATCTTGACTTTACTGTGCTTAATAAAGTCTTAGACGAGCTGGACTCGGACCATAAGCCAGTATTATTATTTTAGAAAACTGCCTCACTAACATTACGACTACTACATTTACTACCATGGACTGGGCCGTCTTTAAGAATTTGTTAGATGTTGGAGGTGTGTTGAACCAACCTGAAACTTTAGTGGACATGGAGGAGTGTAGCCGCAACTTTACTTATCAAATTAAGAAAGCTTTGGATAACAGCTCTATCAAAAATAGAAAACCCAGCAACTATTTCAACTTCCCCAGCATATTGAACACATGATCAGGCACCGAAATAGAGTCTGTAAATTTGCACAGATTACTGGAGATCCGGAAAGAAAGATTGGCATCTTCAAAAATAAAAACAGGGGTGAATACCTGTTGGGGCTAGAAACCGGTAATAAATCCTTCTGGACCATTAAAAAATACTTCAGGCAAACAAAAACTTCTCTATTGTTTAACAGATAAGTGAAATACTGTAATTAAAAGGTTACTCAATGTAGTTTTTTCAAGTAATGAGACTTATGGCTTGATAATCATATAATAAAGTCATAACTGATTTATTTTATTTATTATTTCATATTTTTTTTTAAAGCATGCAACTTAATTATTTATCATTTATTTATTCTTTAACTCAGTTTTTATGCAAAATTATAATTCTGTAGCAAGAATGTTAGTATATTAAGAGATCACT